ACGGTTGCTGAGGGGGCCCCAGGCCGCATGCCAGCAGATATGCGCCCTGGAGGCCCACGGCGGCCCCCAGGCCGCAGACTTCAAATATAGGCGGCAGTGATTAATTAATTATTTATTTATTTATTTACTTACCTGTTGTCCTATTCCTTGCCTGTGCAGACGTCATTTCCGACTTACAGGCCCCAAGGCAACGCCTTGGGCCAGGAACAGAGGGATGAGGCCCTTCTGAAACCAGGCGCTTTTTGGCCCCTGACTCAAGGGTACCAACGTCGTTTCGGACTGCAGGCACCAAGGCAGCGCCTTGGGCCAGGTACACGGGAACGAGGCCTGACCAAGGCCAGGCGCGTTTTTGTGCCTTGCTGCATCAGCAGCATGGTCTGGACGTCGGGTAGGGACCCAGACGGGCCGGGCCGTTTGAGGCCAGCACCAGGCAGACCCAGCCTCGCCCAGCGCTATAGATAGCTGGGCAGCGCCTGGGTACAGGGAGTTGGAGTAGCTCACTTCTGGAGCGACACGCTGCATCTTAGCGCTGCGCTGAGGGACAAGGTAGTGGTGTAGGTAGGAGAGGGCGGAGGCCATACCTGCAGACGGCGGACTTACCTGGTGCCATAGCTGGGACTCCGCGCACGACCTGCACAAGACAGCGACAATGCGACCGTCAGTGTACGGTGGCCTTCCTGCAGTTGAGACAGTAGGGGCAACGGTCTCTTCGACTCCCATCCATCTCGTCTCTCTCTCTCTCTCTCTTTCTCCTCTCTTCTTCTTCTTCTTCTTCTTCTCCCTCTTCAGATACGAGGGTGAGGGGGGGGGGGTACAGGCACAGGATACAAGCAGGGATTACAGTGGGCATTGCGCCCCGGCATTTCTGAGACAGACATTGATTGGACATCGGCAAGGGACTATTTTTGGACATCGCCATTGCGATCTTGGACTTCACCCTCGCCTCCATCTTCGTCTCTCCNTGAGACAGACATTGATTGGACATCGGCAAGGGACTATTTTTGGACATCGCCATTGCGATCTTGGACTTCACCCTCGCCTCCATCTTCGTCTCTCCTCCCACCATCTCACATCTGTGGTATCTCCCCATGTGCGTGTACAAGGAGGGACCTTTCCTCTTGGTGTGCGGTCCGTCCTCCTCCTCTCACATGTGTGATGTATGATGGGATGTCGTGTCAGTCCCGGTCAGGTCAGGACTTATCTTCAAGTCTTCCACTGCGCTACTATGTGCCATTTTGGATGTATCAGGATGTACATTGCGTGTTGATGTTCCACTAACATTGCATTGTTCATTCAGTCCTTTTCATCACATCGCGGATCCTTGCCTCTACGTGCATTGCCCAACTGGGCATGTATCAGTTGGCATCGGAGCCCTGCAGGTGAATCAGGACAACCTGATCTGACATGTGTGCGGGGACTAGTGACTAGTGACTAGTGATTGATTGATTAGTCATTGATTACTTGATTGATTGATTCGTCATTTGGTTGATTGATTGATTGATCATTGATTGATTGCTTGACTGATTGATTGCTTGATCATTGATTGATTGATTGATTGATTGATTGATTGATTGATTGATTGATTGATTGATTAATTAGGTCATACTAATTAGTCCCCCAAATCGCAATTTTTTTGACCTAACTGCCAAAATCGAAATTTTTTTCTTTTTTTTGGATTTCGTTCTTAGGCTATTTCGTTTGTGGAAAATCGCAAAATCCGAAGTAACACAGCATCTGAAATTTTCGATTTTCACTTTCTTTTGAAATTCGACATTTCGTTGTTGAGAAATCCGGAATATTTTCAATTTGTAGTTCCTTTCCCAATTTCCCGTTATTTCGAAATGTCCGATTTTTTTTTTTGGGAATTTCCGAAATTCGTTATTTCGAGATTTGAAATTTTACGGGAAATCCCGGTTGCAGTTACCTTTTCAACTGCACATGCTCTCATCTGAATAATTCCGGGAATTTTTTTTACTTCCGGAATTCCCTGATTTTTCTTCGCAGTTCTATTATTCTTTATTCATTATTATTCTGTGTTAATCATTGCAGTCCGAAAATTCGATTTTTTTTTATTATTGGTGATTTCGAGTTTGAGGGAGATTGGGAGACCTACTGAACTTGCGAACTCGAGATTTTATTATTATTGTCATTATTATTAATCTCTCGGAATTTTTTTTCAAAAATTCAAACTTTTCCTTTTTGATTAGTGGCTCCTTATCTGGGCGATTTATCCCACCCACCCCTCCCCACCTATGTTGTTGCCCCCTCGGGTCTCCTCTTCTTCATCTGCCTCCCCTACTGCGGCATTGGTGAGTTGCCATGTCAGCAGGCCACGTCAGCAGTGACATGTCAGTGCCACGTCAGCAGACACATCAGCAGGACATGTCAGCAGCACACGTCAGCGACACGTCAGCCGACAGCCGTGCCATGTCAGCAGCAGGGAGCGCCACGTCAACAGGCCCTCGGCCCGATCCATGCTCTTGCGCTCTCAAACAGCCATCATGGACCAGAAGCCAGGGGAAACCGCCGAGGCCTATCAGGCCCGGATGCTGGTTTTGATTGCTAAAGCCAAGCAACGGTTGGATGCGGTAGCAGCTGCAGAGAAGAAGAAGGCGGAGGACGTTGAGAAGGCACGTCTGTTGGCGATCGAACAGCAGCGCCAGCACGACGAGGCAGCAGCAAAGGCTGCCGATGAAGAACGCAGTCAACGACGCGAGAAGGTATTCAGCGAGGAGAGAGCTTTGCTTACTATGGCAGCGGCATGGCGGACCGAGGCCGAAGGTGGCGAATTCAGCGACAGCGGACCTCGCATCTCGCTGTTGCTCTCCCACCTCACGGACCTCCTGGCAATGTGCATTGCACAAGAGGAGGACATCCATAACCTCGATGACACGGTGAAGAACCAGCAACGGTCGTTGGATGAGGTCAACAGCCGCCTCCAGCAGCTGGAGCAACGACCTGTCGCCAACTCCTCCAACACCTCCGACCGACTCAACGCATTGGAAGTCGACGTTCGTACACTCAAGGACGGCATGCAGCTACAAAAACCGCGACTCGAGCAGCCGATCTGCACTGCCGCCACTCACTCGAGCACGTCACAATGCTAATCGACTCCGACTTCGACGGTCAGGAGATCTTCTGCGATGCAACGAAGACGAACCCGATTCCGTGGTTCCGCCAGTTCAAGCTCAAGTTGCAGCTCCACCACGTACACGAAGCGAAGCACGATGCGTCCTTGTACTCCCGATCGGGGGGCGCGTGCCAAGCATGGATGGGCAACCTCTTCTCTAAATACAGTGTGGTGGCAGCCGACTTGCATACCAAGATCAGTTGGGCGGATCTGAAGGCAGCATGGCATAAGCAGTTCCAAATCGAGCCGCCGGAAATGAGAGCGATGAACAAGCTGATCAAGTTCCACCAAAACACGCTGCCAAGCGGAGATTGGATCGCCGAGTTCCAGCGCTTGGCGGCCATGCCCAGCGTACCAATGGGCTTTCAGGCTGTGAAGCACTACTTCATCTTGAGGTCGTGTTCGACATTGTCCACGACGCTGACTCAAGTCGCAAACATGCTCACTACAACCGCGGAGCTCTTCGACAAGGCCGCGCAGATCACCATCACGAACACGAAGGCCAAGAACCTCTCACCTACAACAGGCCTGAGCAGAGAACAACATCGACCGAAAGTGGCCGTGGTCGCGGCGGCAACGTCGATCGACCCCTCAAGCGAGGCCGTGTCTGGGGACAGACTCGCAGCCGCCCGGGATGGTGGCCGCCCCGGCAGAGGCCGAGGACGTGACAAATCGAAGACTAACACCTAATCCCCCGGGCCCGGTGCAGCAGCTCTAGATCCATGGACCCATTATGGTCTCCAGGAGAGCGTATACAAGTTACGCACGAGATTCCGCTATTGCTTGTGGTGCAACAACTATCTCCACGCAACAATGGGCTGCCCTTTGATGCCTAACGGCAAGGGCAAGTCGGGAAACTGCCGTTGGGAGTGAGTCGACGACACTCCCGACGCCTTCGGAACCGGTTGCTTCGCGGGCGACCGCCCTCCGTTCCGAGGCACATGCGGAAGTCCATAGTCCTCCTCTTTTATATTCTTATGAGGACTATGCTGCCCGACTTGTCCTCCTCTTTTATATTCTTATGAGGACTATGCTGCCCGACTTGTTCCTACGCTGGGTACTCATGCTCAAGGACAAGACGTGTGTGCAGCATCTTCTCCGTACGGGAGCGGTGACTTATCGTCTTCAAGTGGTTCTTCACGGAATTCGGCGCGCGAGTTCAACATAGAGGTATTGGACCCGCTCACGTCCGAGGATTTCGCATAGCGTCCTCTCCCGACCACGTTGGGTACTCATGCTCAAGGACAAGACGTGTGTGCGACATCTTTTCCGTCCGGGAGTGGTGACTTATTGTCTTCAATTGGTTCTTCACTGGATTCGGCGCACGAGTTCAACATAGAGATATTGGACCCGCTCACGTCCAAGGATTTCGCATGGCTTCCTCTCCCGACCACGGGCCGCTTGCTGGGACCGCAATTCGCAGCACTATGCACTCATCTTCACACGTACCTATCATTCTATGCACCACAAACTTCGCCGACGGATGACGAAGCTGCAGTGGGTGACATCCATGCGTATGTTACCAAGGTGGCTATGTCCGCATCCAAGTTGGGCAAGCGGCCTGCAGCGCTTTGCTGGATAGCAGCGCGTCTCGCAATTTCATGAGCCAAGCCTTTATGCAAAGGGCTGGCCTCGGCGCACAAGTTCAAAGGAAGGCAAACCCAACGACAATCAAGTTGGCGGAAGGAAAGACGCAACAACTTCTCGACCGCTATATCGAAGCCGTCCTGGTATATTTTGCACCTCATGCATGCGAACTGGTGACGTTCGACTTTTTGGACACGGACTTCGATATTATTTTGGGAATGCCTTGGCTTGCAAGTGCGGATCACACAGTCAACTTCCACCGGCGGACTCTTACCGTCTGGGATGCCTTCGGCGCCGAAGTGTCGTGCATTATTCCTCTCCCACACCCTTCGATTCAGTGCCAAGTGGTGACGACCAAGTCATTCCGGGCTACTTGCGCTTACGAGCAGCTCGACGAGATAGGCCTATGTTTCCTACGAACCGTCGCGGTAGCCTGCTCTTCACCCACGAACTCGTCTTCGGACCCCCCCGTGGTACGATTGCTGGACGAGTTCGCCGACATCTTCGAGTCATCTACCGGTGTGGTGCCGGATCGGCCGATCTCCCACGAGATCATTCTTGAGACCGGTGTCGTGCCGCTGAAAGGTTGCATTTATCACATGAGCGAGGAGGAGCTTACGGTCCTCTCTGCGCTACTCGATGACTTGTTGGACAAGGGCTGGATCCCCCCTAGTAGCTCCTTATACGGAGCGCCAACTCTCTTCGTATGGAAGAAGAACAAGGATCTACGATTGTGCATCGATTCCCGCAAACTCAACGCGCAAACCGTCAAGAATGTGGGGCCTCTTCCTCGTATTGACGATCTTCTTGAGCAATTGGGCGGCGCAAAGTACTTTTCCAAGTTGGATTTGAAGTCGGGGTATCATCAGATTTCAATCCGCCTGAACAATCGCTATAAATCCGCGTTCAAGACGTGGTATGGGCATTTTGAGTGGGTGGTCATGCCTTCTGGCCTCACCAATGCCCCGACGACCATTCAAGCGGCAATGACCAACGAGTTCCGGGCGATGTTGGATCGTTTCGTGCTGGTCTACTTAGACGGCATCCTCGTCTATAGCCGAACCTTGGAGGATCATCTTGAGCACCTTCGACGAGTGTTGGAGACGCTCCGCCGCGCCAAGTGCGAATTTGTCCGGCAAGAGCTGGAATACTTGGGCCATTTTGTCACACCCGAGGGCATCAGTCCGTTGTCGGACAAGATTCAAGCCATCCAAGAGTGGCCAGAGCCGCGGAACGTCACATATGTCCGTTCGTTTCTTGGCCTTGCCGGCAACTACCAACATTTCATCAAGGGATACTCGAAGATAGCGGCTCACTTAACCAAGCTTCAATGCGAGGATCGGCCGTTCGACTTTGGGGAGGATGCGCGAGAATCATTTTTGCCCTTCAAAGCGGCGTTATTATCCGCAGAGGTCTTGCACATATACGCCTCGCTATTGCCAACGCGCGTCACTACAGATGCGTCCGGCTATGGCATTGGTGCCATCCTCGAACAACACAATGGCGTGGACTGGCACCCGGTTGAATACTTCAACAAGAAAGTGCCCGTCGTGCACTCCATTGATGATGCACGCAAGAAGGAGCTCCTAGCCTTCGTCCACAAGCTCAAGCGGTGGCGACACTTCCTCCTTGGTCGAAGTCAATTTCGATGGGTAACGGACAACAATCCGTTGGTCTTCTACAAGACCCAAGACACTGTCAATAGCACCATCGCCCGTTGGATGACTTTCATCGACCAATTCGACTTCTTTCCCGATCACATTCCGAGGAAGTCTAACCATTTTGCGGATGCTCTTTCACGGTGTCCGGATCATTGTACCGCAGTTTATTCGACCTTCGAGATCGATGACGACCTGCGGGATAGTTTCATCCGCGGCTACCAAGCCGACCCCGAGTTTCGCGACAAATACGCGAATTGCTCCTCTCCTAATCCGGCKCCTTCTCACTGTCGGATCCAAGAGGGGTACTTGCTTGTCCACACACGGGGGAAGGACCTTTGCGTACCGAGTGACTCTCACTTGTGTACACGGCTTCTTGGTGAGTTCCACGACGCTCCCGCCACTGGACACTTTGGAGTCAATCGCACGATTTACTGACTTCGCCGAGAAACTCAAACGAGGGGGAAGGACCTTTTTTGCGTACCGAGGGGGAAGGCGTTCCATGATGCTCTGGCCACCAGACACTTTGGGGTCAATCGAACGATTGGCCAACTTCGCGAGCGCTTTTGGTGGCTCGACCTTCTCGGCGACGTCACACGCTATTGCGAGTCATGCAAGGTTTGTCGACGCTGCAAATCCTGCAATCATCGTCCGTACGGCGAGTTGTGACCATTATCGGTCCCCTTGCGCCGAAGGGAAGCGATTGCCATGGACATTATCGGGCCGTTCCACAAGCACAAAACCGGTGTGGATGGGATTCTCACGGTGGTCGACCGACTCACCAAGTTTGCCACATTTTTGCCTTGCCGCGATCATGCCAAGGCACCAGTGTTGGCCGAGGTTCTTTACGCAGGTTGGATTCGAACCAAGGGTTACCCCAAGGAAATCATCTGCGACCGCGAAACTCGGTTTATGTCTGATTTTTGGTTGGCGCTCATCAAACGATGGGGCTCATCAAGCCGAGTTCGACTCGCCACCCCCAACGATTTTTGGTTGGCGCTCATCAAGCCGAGTTCGACTCGCCACCCCCAACTCGGTGGCCAAACGGACCGGGCGCATCAGACCGCACAGGTTCTCCTTCGCACTCTCATCCGTMCCGACCAAAAGGATTGGGTTGAGCGGCTACCGGATGTCGAGTTGGCTTACAACTCGTCTATCCATCCGGCTATCGGCATGTCGCCCTTCGAGTTCGAGCACGGCTCGTCGGTCACTTCTCCGTTGGACACAATCATTCCACGAGCGGCCGAGAGCGACAACCATCTTCTTTTCTTGCGTCAGATGCAAGAGCTACTTGTCAAGGCACACGACCAGATGACAAAGACGCAGCAACGCATGAGCCAACAGGCAAATCGACAGCGTCTTCCTTGTCCCTTCCACGCCGGCGATCTCATTTGGGTCTCCGCCGCGGAATTTAGCCTCGAGCAAGATATCTCTCACAAGCTCCTCCCAAAATGGATGGGGCCCTGGCCGATCGTGGCACCCGCTGGGGATGCACCCGAAGGACCTTCCTTCATCATTCAGGTGCCTGCCCACTTGCCCGTCTACCTGGTCTTTCATTGCTCCAAATTGGCTCTTTACATGCCTATGTGACGCGCAACCTCACGCCCTGTGCTGTCTTCCGTTCGGAGTGTTAGGGGGTTTTCCTGGGGTTGGTATGATATAAGCAAAAGAAAGGGTACGAAAGGTGGCACGGGGTCGTGAAGTGGTTCGTCACATGCGGAACATGACGACTTTCCCGGGCAACGATCGCAAGACCCACCCTCTATGGACGGTTTTCAAGAGGTCGGCGACATCATCTCCCAGCGACGCTACGGCAACAGGCCGACCGAATACTTGGTACACTTTGTGTACTGCACCCACAAAGCTGACCGTTGGTTGACCCGTGCGGACCTCCAAGCAACAGCTCCGGATGTTCTCGCACGCTACGAACGCAAGATGCAAGGCAAGCCGGTATCTTCGGCTCCACGTCGCACCCGCGTCCAGGTTCCACCTTCAGAGATGTTCTCGCACGCTACGAACGCAAGATGCAAGGCAAGCCGGTATCTTCGGCTCCACGTCGCACCCGCGTCCAGGTTCCACCTTCAGATCGTCAGCTTTGCCCTCGACCCAGCTTGACTTCATAAGGAGGGGGGGGTGTTACATGTTGCGCCTGCTCACGGGTCCCGTTCAAGGGGCCCAATGGTTGCTGAGGGCCCCCCAGGCCGCATGCCAGCAGACATGCGCCCTGGAGGCCCACGGCGGCCCCCAGGCCGCAGACTCCAAATATAGGCGGCAGTAATTATTTATTTATTTATTTACTTACCTGTTGTCCTATTCCTTGCCTGTGCAGATGTCGTTTCGGACTTACAGGCCCCAAGGCAACACCTTGGGCCAGGAACAAAGGGACGAGGCCCTTCCAAAACCAGGCGCGTTTTGGCGCCTGACTCAACGGTACCAACGTCATTTCGGACTGCGGGAACCAAGGCAGCGCCTTGGGCCAGGTACACAGGAACAAGGCCTGACCAAGGCCAGGCGGGTTTTTGCGCCTTGCTGCATCAGCAGCATGGTCTGGACGTCCGGTAGGGACCCAGACCGGCTGGGCCGTTTGAGGCCAGCACCAGGCAGCCCCAGCCTCGCCCAGCACTATAGATAGCTGCGCAGCGGCTGGGTACAGGGAGTTGAAGTAGCTCACTCTGGAGCAACACGCTGCGGGACCAGCGCTGCATCTTAGTGCTGCGCTGAGGGACAAGGTAGTGGCGTAGGTAGGAGAGGGCGGAGGCCATACCTGCAGACGGCGGACTTACCTGGCGCCATAGCTGGGACTCCGCGCGCGACCTGCAGAAGACAGCGGCAACGCAACAGTCAGTGTACGGCGGCCTTCCTGCAGGTGAGACAGCAGGGGCGACGGTCTCTTCGTCTCCCCTCCATCTCGTCTCTCTCTCTCTCTCTCTCTCTCTCTCTCTCCTCTCTTCTTCTTCTTCTTCTTCTCCTTCTTCAGATACGAGAGTGAGGAGTGGGTTGCAGGCGGAGGATACAGGCAGGGGTTACAGTGGGCATTGCGCCCCGGATCTGGTTCGACATTTCTGAGACAGACGTTGATTGGAGATCGGCAAGGGACTATTTTTAAACATTGCCATTGCAATCTTGGACTTCACCCTCGCCTCCATCTTCGTCTCTCCTCCCCCGATCTCACATCTGTGGTATCTCCCCATGTGAGGATACAGGCAGGGGTTACAGTGGGCATTGCGCCCCGGATCTGGTTCGACATTTTTGAGACAGACATTGATTGGACATCGGCAAGGGACTATTTTTGGACATCGCCATTGCGATCTTGGACTTCACCCTCGCCTCCATCTTCGTCTCTCC